GTAGCAAGAACCTCCCAGCTGTTTCATCTGGGTAATGCCACAGGAATGAATGAGCTCTAACCTCTTTGATTCTCTTTCTTTTGATCTCTCCAATCCAGATTCAAACTCTAGGAGACAGTGTCCTGTTTAAGTTAAAGAAATCTTTGTCACTTGGCAAGGAAAGTACATGGTACTTTGATATACAGTCCTAAGACTCCCACAGTAGGGAACAAATGATTCCCCAAGATGAAATTAGGATGCTGTCATCCAAAGAAGAGGAACAAACTCTGGTAGCTAAAAAGCAGCACATACTCACTACCGTATGTACTTTTTTGTCAATGCAGAATTACGGTTTGCAGTGCTGCTCATAGAAACAGCAGCCATCAAAATGAAAACGAAGTCGTGTGTGTTGAATACAGTGATCCCAGGTGTCCCTTAACCTTTGTGCAAGTCTCACCACAGGGAACTGAGGTTCTCACTGATGTTCTCCCACTTGACTCTGAGTTTCATGTCTTCCATGAAGCAGCTAAATTCAATTAGAGAATGAAGAAATAGAGACAGTGACATTAAGGAGGACTTTGCAATAATTCGACACTTCCTAGAATGTTTGTCATCTCCCCCTGGTCAGTTTTTATTTACCTGTCAAGACTCAGGTCAAGCATTACCTCATCCAGCAAGATGTTCTCCCGTGTGCCCTCCTACCACATCCTGTTCTGACTTAGGGCCACTCATCTCTGTGCGTAGTGCGGGCATTGCACTCATCACATGTGTTATGTTGGTTGGTTTGTCTGTCTCCCACACTAGCCAGATTGGCAGACGCTCTGTCGTGTGTTTCTTTGATTCTCCCCTGCCTTACACTGTAGCTGCACATCACGCAAATATTTGTTGAATGCGAGGATGAATGGATTTGGCAGAGAAAGGGGATACGGCATTCCACATAGAGCCCCGCATGTATCAAGACACGACACACGGCATGTTCAGGAACTGGTGAGAAATTCTGTGGGTTTAGAGCATGGAAAGAAAAGACTGGTAAATTTGACCAGCGTTTGACTCTAAAGGACCATTATGCCAAGCTGAGACAGTTCTGTAGGCCTCAGGAACTCACAGAAGAATGAGTGAGATTTTGCAAGGGAAGTGGGGAGGGCTGCAAGAGGCTGCGTGGTGAATAAAATGCTGCCTGGGGCTGGAGCTAACGAAGAGAACCCTCATGTCGCAGCCCGGATTGCAGAACGCGGGATGGACACAGAAAGAAACACACAGATACACACACAAGACGTACAAGACTGAAGTAGTCAATTCTACCAGTCGCTTTATTCTTATACTTTGCTCTGTCCGGCAGCTACTTCCTGGTACGTGACTACCTTGGGCGCCCTGAGGAAAATACATTTTCATTCCTTCCTGACAATTGCTTAAGGGAAGCAGACGTTTGCATCTTAACTTCTTGCATCTTAACTTCTTGCATCTTAACTTCTTTATCTCATTACCGTATGCAGGATACCGTATGCAGGACAATGAGATGCCTTGGCTTGTTTGCAAGACCCCAGGCACTTGGTTATCTGTCATAAAGCTATCTGTCATGAGGAATAGTTCTGTTTGGCCAACAGGCCGGGCCCGGGCCTATTGACCTCTGGCACCAAGGAGAACACACCCAGTTTCGCTGACTCTGGGCTTAAGCCAATTTTTGCCCAGGGACCGTCCCCACACCTCAGATGGTAAAATATTCTTGTCTCTGGGAGTTAAAAGGGTCAGAACTGATTTGAGAGCAAATTCACCTACACACAGTAGGCACTTCTCTAGGTCTGGGAATACAGTGGTGAGTAATATGGTAAGATTCCTGTATCCTTGGAACTTTCACTCTAGAAAGGGCAGATAGATAAAGCGACATAAAGACACAAAAGTACACATACAGATTCTCAAAACTGAAATGCTACATTGCATATCAAATGTTCCAGGCCACCACTCTCCAGGTTAAGTATTCAGAGCAATCTAGTGTCTGCGCCAAAGATTTCTCTAGAGCGTAGCAGGGAACCACCGCCTTACAGCCTGTATCCCAGGCATTTACTGCTAAGTTTTTACAAGTGACCAGTACTATGCATGTACTTCATGTGAATAATACTGTGCACGCTACAAAAAGTGTTGCAAAAAAGAAAAAAGAAAAAATTTTGTCACAAGAATACTTAGCAAAAGTATTTACCTTTTTTCCACTTCATACTACAAATAGGGATGTTATCTTTTAAAGCTTAATTAATTGGGTAAATATATGATAGTATAAATAAAAGCCAGTCATTGCCTCTGTTAATTTTGTAGCTTACAATCTCTAGTGCCTGGAAAATAATGTGGCATTTTTATAACTTTAATCCATAACCTTGGCAACTTTTTTATTCATTGTTTTTTGTTTGTTTGTTTGTTTTTTGTAGTGGAATAGGCTCTGTCGGTAAAGGAATTTTTAATTCTCAATGTAAACATTAGCCTGCACCATGCTCTCTAGTCTTATGTTCTCTTTTCCCATAGTGGGCTCATTTCATAATAAGGGCCTTTTCCTCTCTTTTCCAGGGTGCTGATAAGACTGTGAAAGGTCCAGATGGACTGACCGCCTTTGAAGCCACTGACAACCAGGCAATCAAAGCCCTTCTCCAGTGATGGGTGGATGGACTGATAACTCGGGAAGAATGACTCTCCTGTGGCCTCACACTGCTGCCTGTCTGTCTGTCACTCTCTATCTGCCAGCTTCTTCAGCTAAATACTTTAAGAGGGGTGAGGGGAGAGAGAAATTCATAACAAATCAGACTACCAGGAAAAAAACAATATTTTGGAGGAGAGGGGAAAAAACGTGATCAGGCTTTTGGTGGGATTCCTGATCAAGTCAGCCTCTTTTCCATTTCTTATAAAATATACGGCTTATACCCAAGGGAGAGCAAAGACAAAATATACCAGTAACATTTGACCTTTTCAGCTCCCTGGCTAATTTATTCATTAGATTGTGTTGAAGGTCCCATTCTACAAAGGCCAACTCTACGTATTTGGTAGCCCTACCTGCAAGCAGTAGTGGCTACTGCGATGTAACCTTAGGGTGCTGAGATAAGCAATTAGCTATAGCCTTTCTGCCTTAAGAATGCACTCTACAGGGGTTTCCTGTCGTAGTTCAGAGCGCTGCCTGTGGTTGGTGACCAAATCTTTCCTCAGTGACTTTAAGCTTTATGTGAAGCTTAGTTAAGGTGAGGAGGGGCACACTCCTAAATTGCTGGATGGCTGAACTTTGGATTTTCTCTCCCTTTTCACATGGATTTCATGTTTGCTTAGATAAAACTGACTAGTTTTATTTATAAAATCTTAAATTTTGGAAGTCTAAAGGAGAAATCATTCCAGTATGCATATTTTTTCTCTCCTCTAGATTCAGACATTTATATAAAATTGAAACACTTTCAAACTCCTGCTGGTAGTAAAAGGGGATTTAAAAATAGAATCATAGCCATAAGCCTGTTAGTATCATATAAAGAGAGAACAGTTGTCTTAGTACCTATGAATTTTCTTTATTTTCTATTTGAATGGATAGACTTCAGTTATGTTTGAAGAATCAAGGAACATTCTTTGGAATGCCTCTCTCAGACCCATCTTGGATGCTGATTACTTATTGCACCAAAGCTATCACTGGGGTGAGATTTACTGTTTGGACAAAGTTAGCCCCATTCCTTTTAAAATATGTTACCAGATTTCCCCGCATTGTTGATATGCTTCTGCTGAACATACGCCAACCCACCTGCGTAATATATTTTTGTTTCTTTTGTAAATCATGCATTGCATAAAGTGCAAAATATACTTCAAAATATACTCTGTGTTCTTAGAATACAGTGCCGTAAAATGGTATTCTTATGACCTGCAGAAAATACCTAGATATTTCTCCAAATGTTTATTTCATGAACATTACAACTAATTAAAACATAATTTTAAATTTGATAAAATATTAAGATTCCTTTGACTTGCAATCCATATAAGCTTACTAAAAATATTAGGGTTTTTTCTTAGCCAAGTCATGCAATAATTGAATGTACCTCAAATTTTTAAAGAGGGAGGAAGAGGGTGGGTTAGGGACTGGTATTCAGATTGTGGATAATAAAGAAATGATGATGGTTTTTGAAGGCAATGTAGCATTCTACTACAGGGTTAAACGATTATCAAGAACAGTCACCCTGGCTGATAACAAGTTTTATTGATCAGTTGCTGATTGGTTGGTTGGCGTGTGTGTGTGTGTATGTGTGTGTGTGTGTGTGCGCGCGCGTGCGTGCGTACGTGCGTGTGCATGCGTGTATGTATCTTTACCTGTGAACCCTTTTTTTATCCTGTGGCTTTTTCACTTACAACTAGCCTAACCCTGTAATTTTCCTACATCCAAGAAAACAATCACAAAGTTGTGGTTTAAATACTTTGTTATATTTGGCTAATTCTGCTGTCTTAATGCAGCCTGTTAGAGTTGGATTAAAAGTCAGTAATCAGTACTTTATTACATCACTGAACTAAAATAAAGAGACATCATCATTGAAAATGGAGGGCACTCTCTCAGTCTATAACTAACAACATAGTGCAACAGGGTGTTTTGGTATCTTTGTTTTCACCTCTTGGCATAATACTATTTCAAAGGCTTGAATTTTTCTCTTTACACAATTTTCACCTTTACTTTCAAAGTGTTTTGTTGTAGTTGGCTATTGCAGAGAGTGCATTGTCCTATCATTCCTAAACCTGGTCTGCTTTCTACAGTCATGGTAGAGAAACCATGTGATTCTTTGTACAGTTTATCCTGATGTTCCTTGTAATGCAGTAGAGGCTATTGCGCCTTCCCTATTCTTTCTCAGCCATTTTGTAAGCTCCATAATTATTAAGCGATTGCTTGAGAAAATAGCATATAAACATAGAATAGAATAGACTGACCAAGATGGTTTACAGTTTCTTTTTTAACTAGGTTATTTATAATGTATTTCTGAACCACTTGGCAGAGAAATTCACAACACTTAATGTTCATATTTTGAGTAAAGAAAGCTAAAACTATGTCTGCTTTTTGGTACTACATGCATTAGCAAATGGTTAAGTTGTTCTCCACTGAAGTAATATTTAACATCGCAGAAAAAATCTTGCATGTTCTGTAGTTTTGTATTAATTCAGTCATTTCTTATGCACTATATCAAGTACAAACAGGTAATTTACCTGTTTAAAGTAGTGGACTAACAAATTCTCCCTTGCAGCTTCCGACTGGTATCTACAGACTTATAGTTCAAGTACAGCACCTGAATTTCCCAAGTAGTTCTTCTATGCATAGCTCACCTTTCTACACCCAGCTGGGCATGAAGGAGAGGTAATACGTAGGTGCCGTTTATGGAAGCTGCGAACAAGTGGGCCCCCTTTATTCACTGATTTCTTGCCTCAGATAATGGATTTCAAATCTATATGTACCTATTTGATTTTTTTTTCTAAAACTTCAACTGAGCTGCTGTTTTCTTCCATGCAATATTATATACTCAATTGTGTATAGAAGAAGCTGGTGAGAGTGCCCTCCTACATAAATAAGCAATTGCAGTGTTTTGCATGCAAAATTTAAAAAATTTAAATTGTCCTGATTCTATTTTGTAAATGGAGAAACAATCATATCTTTCTAAGCAGTAATGGAGGAAGACTAGTGCTTTGTGCATTTTGATATATTTGAGTTCATTTTTCCATAATGTCATATTTTTGACACAATTGGGTTTCTCATAAGTATCCTAGTTCATGTACATCATCCGAATGCTAAATAATACTGTGTTTAAGTTTTGTGTTGCAAGAACAAATGGAATAAACTTGAATTGTGCTACAGCTAATGTGTCAGCAGCATTTTTCACCCTCCATTGTGATCACCTTCCTTTTTCAGTCTTCTCTGCAACTATACCAGAACCTCGACTGACTCAAACTCTGAATTAACCTAGATTACTTTATTTAGGTTAATTAATATTTTATTAATTTTTTAAAAAATGGAAAAAATAAAATGTCAGAAATTTAATTGAAATAAATCAGACTAGTCATTGGAAGGTTTTGCTTTTGTATTAGTCTCCTGATACAAATTATTTTACTATAACTTGTTCAGTAACCCTCCTGGCTGACTGGGAGCAAGGCGTAGCCAACACATCCCAGCATCAGGATCTTCAGAGGGGTTGAAGAAAACAGTCACGGTAAAACCTCTGTGATTTTTTTCATTGCTCATTTAAGTTACTACACATTTCTTGGAGATCTACATTTCCCAAACTCACTTGACCACGAGCACTTTTTAGGGTGTGCCACCTAACCATTTCCTGTTTCAGGTCAGTTGTCTTCCACAGATACTAACCAGATCATCACACATCAGCCGTGGATATTTTTCTTCAAAGCATTTACTCCATTGAAATATAATTACTGATTGAGAAGAGAATTTAGCAGCATCTTTAATAGCACCTGACCCATGATGGACATGCACTGTATATGTTCTGAACTACTGATGTCAAACCATTATACAGTAAAATGAGAGCACAGCTTTGATTCAGTAACCTCCTACCCAAGAAAAGACTGGCTATTAGAATTATGAGGCTACCTGAGTGTCAGTGTACCCAAACATTAGCCAGGTAGCCTCGTAAGTACTACTGATACTGATTGCAAACCCAAGTCAATGAAGGGAAGACAAATATCACAGAGTCCCAACAATTCATTGAGGAAATGCTGACCGTGGTGAGGTCAAATGCAGGTCACTGTGAGCCATTGTGGCATATACTAAAGCACAGCTGTAAATGATGGAGCAAAACAAAGGATTGTCTGGCCACCCTAGCAACTTCTATGCATTCAGCAGCTGCAGCAGCAAAGATGGTCTTATTTACACTGTTAAGATGGAACAATGGGTCACCCGTCTGACAACATTCATAGCAACAGCATCTTGTCACACAAAGGAAAATAATACATAGACAATTCCTAGCCACCAGATGCTGGATTTGAGGATACTACTAGATAACCAAAAAGCTTTTTAAAGAAGCTGTATTTTTCTAAGAGTTTACTAACAAATCTGAAAATATATACCTGTATATTCTCTTCCTGATATCTAATAATCTATATGTTTATGTACATCCCCTATGGCAAGCTGCCAAATCTAACCATATTACCATGGCTTGTGATTTGCTAGTTAAATTTTAGTAGGCTTGAAAGCATTCAGATCTAAACCAATTTATGTTAATTTTTTAATTAAAAGTTCTTGAAATGATACCACAGTATGAACCTGGAAGCTCTGTCATAGTCCCATTCATATGAAAAATTATCATTTAAGGGAGTTAGAGTTTTATGACATTTTGATGTTCATTTCACTATTTTAATTGAGCATTTACTATGATCTGTGAACCATTCTAAGTATTTTATGTGAACTGATTCATTAGATCTTCATAATAACCCTATGAGGTGATAGGTAATATTGTCATCCCTATTTTCAGATAAGGAAACTAAGCTCAGAGAAGTTCAGTAATTTGCCTGTAGTCACACAGCTAGTTAATGGTAGAGCCAGGCAGTCTGGCTGTAAAGTTTGTGCATTCTACACCTTTATTTTATTGCCTCTCAACTCTCACTCAACCAACTCATATTTTTTATGAACACAGCTTTTTCTAAGACTTGTAGAAAATGACTTAGAAACATTTTTTGGATTTGTTTATGATTTTAAACAACTACATGGAAAATGTGTGTAACATGCATTGATCATTTTTCATGATGAAATTAAATGGAACAAAGACATTTAATTTTCAAGTTTGAAAAGTAGCAATACTTGAGTGAGATATATAAATCTTTGACAGTCTAGAAAATTATGATATAATCAAGATTCAGCAAACTATGTCTCACAGACCAAATCTGCCCACCACCCGTTTTTGTAAATAAAGTTTTATTGGAACACAACCATGCCCATTCACTTACATATTACCTATGGCCACTTCCACACTTTAACAGCAGAGGTGACTAGTTGTAACAGAGACTATGGTTCATGAAGCCCAAAATATTTATTATCCGGCCCTTCACAGAAAACGTTTGCCAAGCCAGATACAGATATTTAGATGGCTAGGTTGAGAAACACCCTCTAGCATTGGCCAGCAGCTAGTTACCACGAAATTAGTAAAGTCATGGGTGTATGTAAGGAGTTAGCCAAAGCAAATGAAAGGCCAAGCCTGTAAATAATGCACCTCTTTTTATACCTGTGGTAGATAGTCACAGTAATGATCCCAGTCAATCATGCCTATGGGTGTCCACAAACTTGCATAATCCCTTTCCACGTTGACTCTTGAGTTGGCCCAAATGGGACGTAAAACATGAAACCAACAAAAGCTTGACAAGTGCCTCTTCATTGGGGCTTGCCCTGCTGGGTCTCAGCACAGAACGAAGTCTGGAGTCACACTTGTCAGACTTCAGAAGAGGCCACGTGAAAAACAGTTCCCAGCCAACAGCCCCAGCTAACCACCAGACATGTGAGTGGGCTGTCTTGGACCATCCAGAGGGATCTGTTGAAGTCCTATACCACCAGTACCTTAGAATGTGAACTTATTGGGAAATAGGGTCATTGCAGAAGTAACTAGTTAAGAAGTGGTCATTCTGGAGTAGGGTGGGCCCCTAATCCAGTATGACTTGCATTCTTGTAAGACGATGTGCAGACAGACAAGAGAGCACAGATTGGAGTGGTGTTGCTACAAACCAGGGAATGTAAAGAACCACCAGCCACCTCCAGAAGCTAGGAAGGAAGAGGAGAGGAAGGAGGGAGCATGGTCCTGCTGACACCTTGATTTCTTGCTCCCAGCCCCCAGGACTGGGAGACGATAGATTTCCATTGTACTAAGCCGCCCAGGTCGTGGTGCCTTGTTACAGCAGTCCTAGGAAGCTCATGCATCCCCCTTCCTTTCTAAAACCTTCAGTTCCCCCATCTTGACAAGTTCAATTCTCTGGCCTAGCTCTGGAGGCCCTGCACTTTCCCATCTCACCCTTTCTTGGCAAATTCACTCTTTCTTCATGACCTTCTCCAAACTCCAGCCCACACTTAACCTCTCCCTTCTTCAAAGTCCCACTGCCTTTGTCTCCACTGAAGTGTCTGTCACTACCAAGTATGTTTATTTCTGCCTTCCTTACCAGTCTATAAGCCTCTTGAGAAATGGCCTATGACTTATTTTTATTTTTATTTTCCATCTCCCCTGAGTGCACAAATACTCTAAAAGTACTTGTACATGAATTGATCTAGTCACGTTTGCACACACTTTGCCCTTGACCTGGAATACCTGAGTGAACTGTGATCTGCGTGCCAAGGACCATTGTTCTCCTCTTTGTGTCCCCAGTGCCTGGCATAGTGTCTGGCATTTCATAGACATTTGATACATATTTTACTTAATTCATTTTTGAAATCCAGCCTCTGGGCATAGGTTCTCGGTCCATCCCAGGTAAAGCAGTATCTGCCTTCTTTCAAAGAACTTGCTAATGAAATACCTTCAGATTCTTCAGACAAAGGTGGCTGAAGAAGGGGGAAAAAATACCATTCTCTCTCTCCAGTAGCCTCACTAATAAGCCATTAGCAGGACCCGGCCCAGAGCCCCAGGGAACCTTATTAGTCCCTGTGACCCATCCAAAGGAGAGCCTGCCTCGGATGACCAGGCTTCCTGTTTATTCAGACATGACAGGGTTTGTCCTTCACCCCCATTGTTACCTGTGCTTCCAGAGCCCTTTGAACGCATAAATAAATGATAGCTGGCTGGTCTTCTTTCCCCAGGACATTGTCAATGCTGAGAATCCTGACAGCTTTCCAAGACATGATTTGCCACTACAAATGCCAAGTGGGGAGCCCCCTGTCCTCTCCTATTCATTAAGACACTTGATAATTCAAAGTGCCAACTTTCTCCAGCAGAGTCAGACAGACTAATGTGCTGTCATAAGTCTCCAGGCAAGAGAGCTGTGCAGTGTGCTTTTCAAACAACCCAAGCCTTAGCAGGGCGGAGGACCTTTGCTCAGCGGGTATGCCATTCAGATCTCCTAGATGCCAGCACCCAGGGAGCCTGCAGGGGCCACAGTGTGACTCTGGGGCACCAGAATGAGGAGAGGAGCCCAGAAGATGGTTATTGTTCCAGTTCCGTTTGCCTGCCGTTGCCCCTTCTCCTCCTCTCTCACCCTCCACCCCCATTCTCTGAAGCTGAGGATGAGCCTCCCTGGTAGACATACAGGTTTTTCCTTGGGTTTGACCTAAACCCTCAGAATACCAGTGCTCTGACAGCCACTGGGTATTCAGAGGGTTAGAATGGCCTCTGAACATCCCGTGGGTTGTTGAACATCAGGGAGTTAGGGGTGCAGTGTGGGGAAGTCCAACCTTGGAAGGTGGTTGGAAGCCTTTCAGGAATATGGATGATCTGAAGGTTTATAGTTGATCAAATGCACTTGAGAAGAAAAGAGCAGAGATCAATTAAAGAACCAGAATTGTAGGAGTCAGTCAAGTCTCGGGCAGACTTACAGGGAAAATCATTTTTGAAATGGATGTTAAGGCCTTTGGTGGCTCACAATAAGTTATTGAAGGATGGCCTAGATATTTTTGCCAATGTTCTGTCCTCAGCAACTTTCTCACCCAAAATACTCAAGACACTTTGTACATTCCCAAAAGACAGAGGGAAGGAGGCCTACTGTCTTTGGGAACATGAAAAGGTGGGATGAAGGGTAGATTTGGCCTCAAGGAAGTGTGTAAGTGAGCTGGAACAGCCACTGGTACACAGGTAACTACCCACTTCCCCTTCAATGTTCCTCTCCTGCCCCCGAGGTCATGGCTGTCCTTGGCCATGGGCTACTCCTGGGCCTCC